GAGTTAGTTTTTCGATTCAGGCAGTATCATACAAATCACATAGTCTACCGAGGGGCTGACGGTGCGCGCAGAAGACGCTCTGCTCCGCTGCTTTCACCTCGGGCGGGGAGTCAACGACCTCTCTCACATTAAGCCGCGGTGGCAGCGTCTGTGGAACCGAAAAGTCTTCTGTCAGAAGAACGGCCCCTGGCTTCCCCGGGCGGAAACGGTCCGAATCGTTATGAAAGCGGACAGCAAAGTCAAACAAAACTTTCGAAGACGATGAATTGTTTGTTGCTTCCCAATCGAGCTGAGGATCTCTCTCATCCCGGTCGATATCCAAAGTTGGGGCAGGGCATTCCGGGCGGTGATCAAGCAGAACTTCGATTCTAGTTTGACAATCGAGTGCGCGCAACAGGCCAGCTGAGGAAGCCCCCTAGAATGCTTCTAGCTAGCTATCTTCAGATTGCGGAATTTTTAACCAATCGCCATATGTTCCAATTAGATTAGATTACCTTTTGCCCTCCTCCATCCACGAAGGAGCAGGATCCGAGAATGAATCAGGGATTCCGGGGGCAACACCCGATTCACCATAAGGAAGTGTCGTGTATGAAAGGGCATCGCGTCAATGCCCAATACTGATCTATTATTCCTGACTGAGTCGGCTCCCCCAAAGCATCGATTTGAATCGTATTCGACAGGCTTAGAATTGCTTGGACCGCTGATAGGGCTCCGATGCGAACTCCGTGTGATAAGAACTCGCATTGTCGATTCCCGTACGAGCTTGAGATCCACAAACCTCCAGGATGCACTGGGAGACTGGTCACTCGACTCCTCCGAAGATCTCAGGCAGGGGCCCTCGACTCTTTTCGTCCGCAAAGCATCAGCGGAGCGCTTGTGCCTGATTCTGTGCTTGTATACCGTAAGCATGTTCCTTCCTCACTATCGGACCCTGATCTGATAATCCTGAGACCACGTAGGACAAATGAAAAGGCGATAAGGATTCAGTTTGACGACGCGGGGAAACCGCAGCACTTGGTGCTTCGTGGGACTTACTTAGGTTGGGAACCACAGTCTACGGCATCTAGAACGAGGGTCGAGGACCCGACGGACCCTCGTGCGTAGGATACCGATACGACGGAAGTCTCATCGCCAAAGGCTTCCGGAGGGGCTCCCTTCGCGATTGCTTTGAGATCAGCGTCCCCGTCATGGTATGTCGAAGAATCATCATCGTGCGAATCATTCTGTGAATCGCGGAGGATGCCGCTCCGCTCAAATCGGAGATTCGGTGCGAATCCGAGAGGATGTCGCTTACCCTCGATGCGTCCGTCGATGCGGATATTCAGGAACATATCGCTACCCTGGTGCATTCGGAATTTTGGCGAGGGTCGGCCTCGGAGCGGGGAGTCCTCCACCGATTCGCGAGCCGTAACGTACAGCATACCTACAGCATTGACGTTCAATTCCTTGGTCAGGAATCGCAACCTCAGCAGGAGGATTCAATGAGTTGAGCGAACTGTCGTGCCAGAATTACAAGCGCTCTCCATCCCCTGGATTGGGATGTAGCGTGTTGACCATTGAACATCCAGTCCTGTGGTCCGGGTTCACGAAGACGAGTATTTTTCTCGAGCATGCTTTTCCGTTTGGAAATTCTGCTAATTCACAGACTTTCAGCTGGCAATCTTTAATGAATACCCAAACTCTTCTTAGTTAGGCCCTGGACTTCCGAGGAACATACTGATCTTCGTGAGCCCGGATTGAAGGGAGCGAATATTCACTAGTGAGACTCGAGATGAGGTCCGACCCCCTCGTCCTCTCTGCGGGAACGTGCAGACGAGACGGGTTGGTAGTGATACCGGTGTGCTCTGCACGGGCGGGCAGGCTATTCCGAACTTGCGTGATGAAAGGAACTGTGATGGTCTGGCACATTGTAGGTTGAAACGTCCGTCACTGTGCGGTACCTCGATGGATCACATTAGCAAACGCGGAAACTCCGGAGCACCGACTCGGGCGGTAGTCGACCTAGCCGGCCGGCTGCGCGCCTGGTTCCTAGTATCAAGCGAAGAGCTATGTGGCATGTACAATTTATTTTCCTTTCCTAGATCGGTTCCGACCGTCACCCTTGTGTTCATAAAGTGGTAGTTTCAAGACGATGGTTCTCGTTGTGATGCCCGAGGGTGATCTACCCTGTATAACGTGGCAGCCAAGCATCCAAGCGACGTTGTTGATACGAGTCGTCGGAGCTTTGATATCGTTCTGTAGTAGAGTCATGTCTACCCTAAAATCCTCTAGGTACAGTTGAACCAACAAGCAGTGAGCTATAATTTTATCCTTCGCTTTGAGAGATATCGTTCGAAGACCTCGACCTTTCCCATCCATGATGACTCGGGAGAAAACATCCATTATCTGGGTTTTGTAGGGATCTTCAACGCGTGGCATCGGATCCCGCGCGCGGAGCTCCTTCACTTTCAATTTGTAGATGTAGGTGAATATATCATAGGCTGCTAAACACCTCAGCTGCATCTTCCGCAGCGTTTCGTCTCTCGATACCTGCCCCAGACGCTGTAGAACATATTTCGAGTAGGTATCGTTCGCGGCCCACTCGACGAGCTTGTCTTTGTTCACGACTTCGAAGGCCCAATTCGTTGAGGCATAATTGTCGAAGCATTCGTAGTCAACGCGGCAGAACACTTCATATAGGCTGTATACATTTTTGACCGAACTGAATTCGGTGTTTCGTCGCGGAAATTCGACGGTTTCGTCAACGAACGACGTGCCCTCAACTCTTTCCGAGACGACCGTCTCGTTCAAAGTCTCTGAGGCAACCAGCTTGGCGTTGACTTGAGACACTTGTAAGCGCTCCCGAGTTTTGATGATGTTTTGAAGCTTCTTCGTCCCGAAATTCTTGGTGAAGTCTTCGTATCTCTCGGCGTAACTCTTATCGAGCTTTGTCGAGCTCGTCTGTTCAATGCAGCGTTTCATGGCGAGTCTGTGCGCTGGTACGAGTTCGACTTCGCCTGTCTCCATATCTTCTACTGCTAAGTAGGTTCTCGTATCTCCCATGGAGGCTTGCCCGGAGAGTACCATCTTGCCATTGGAGGCCTTCGCGAAGACCTGAAAAATTCTCCGCTTAGTTGGGTGACGGCGAGGGCTCCCACCGGTGAATTCTGGTATCCAAATGCTGGATGACCCATGAATGTTCCCGGTGGTTGTTCGGGAGTACTGAGCATTAATTAGGTGAATCCATCCATTCATTCATCCAACTTCTTTTTTCACGAATCGGCCCCTGGGCTCCTCATGGAAGGCTTACCTGTTTCTTGCTTTTACTGTGGTACAACTCAAGCGCGATTCCAGCCTTAGACACGAGCTGACCGCAGTCGAAATCCGCTATGAAAGCACTCTTATCCTTGTGAACCTTGCGTATCTTCCATTTCACTGGATCCAACTCCGTCGAGCTCATGTCTCCTCTAGATGAGTTACTCTAGTTCGATCGACGGAGACGAAATGAACCGCACAGACATGCGAACGAATCGTATGGAGACGTCGAACTAGTTCATGCACAAGGCCTCAGTCAGTCTCTACACTCTACCTCTCTCCACGAGTGTTTTTTATCAGAATCTTGCGCACGTTGTTTTGTTTAGATCCGCTCTAATAGACGGAAATAGTCCTAAGTGTCGGAAGTCAACCACGTGAGAACTCGCTGGCGAATACCCCTTTTCCCTCACGTTTCGGGCGCTGAAAGTCTCTCCTAGCGCGCGACTGTCACTGAGGACATGTCTCCTTGAATTGTCACACTCGAGATGAGGCCATTCGGGAATCGAGGGTCGGTAGTTTCCAACGCGGTCGGCGGAAAAGGCGGAGTCTGTCCAAGTGACTGGCACTTCGATACAGCCGTGGAGCCCCTATTTTTCTCTCTCCGCCCAAATATCATCTGGCTGTAGGAAATAACAAGAAGGATGGGCGCGAAATGGTTCCGGGGTATAGGAAGGAGCGTCCTTGGTAACGAATGATCGCGACCGAGAGCTCAGGAAGAGGGAGAATCTCG